TTCGCACACGAGTGGGCTCGGCAAACAACCCCCCATCCGAACGAAAAGGATGCGCGAGGGCTGAACAAAAAAGTCAGGGGGACCCCTGATCGCCCTCTCGCTTTGTGCGGAGGCTCGGGGGCTCCTTCTGCACCCAAGACAAGGACAAGCGACCCAAGCCCGCACTCATAGATTTAGAAAAAAAGCAATAAAAAGGGCGCCGAGCCCATTACGGTCCAAGGGTTCGAAGGCTGGACCACCGAGGGTTTCGACAGCCGCCCCAAGACAACAGAGTCAGGGACAACTATGGGCGAGCCTGTACATGGCCATGGCCCGAGCAAGCGATCGCTCGGGATGCCCTAAGTCGTGTCCAAGACCTAGCAGGGAGTTCTCAGAATGGGATCCCATCGTAGGGAGGCGCCGAGCCCCTGGGGCCAATCGAACGGCCCTAGGACCCAATAGAGAAGCCCTCTGGTACTTTTGGAGTGCGTCTCTGGACCACTAGCCGACCCTTATCGAATGGGGCATGGGCCTCCACTTGGACTTACCCGATAGCAGCTCACCAGAAGTGTCACCGCTCGCGCCCACCGAGGGTAGCCTGGCATATTCCACCCCTCCTTCCGAACAAAAAGGAAGCGCGAGGGTCGTATAAAAAAGCCAGGGGGAACCCCTGACGGACCTCGCCGCAGAGGCTAAGGGGCTCTCCTTGCAACTTTGCCGAGACCCAGCGACCCAGGTTCGCACTCGAGGGGGCTCGGCAAGCAAACCCCTCCTTTCGAACGAAAAGGTTGCGCGAGGGTCGTACAAAAAGCCAGGGGTACTCCAGACGGCCCTCTTGCTCCGGGCAGAGGCTAGGGAGCTCTTCCTACAGATATACTGAGGCCCCGCGACCCAGGCTTGCACCCGAGGGGGTCTCAGCAAACAAACCCTCACGCGCGAGAGGTGTATAAAAAGCCAGGAGAGCACCTGACAGCCCTCTCGCTCTGTGCAGGGGCTAGGGGGCTCTTTCTGCAAGTTTGCCGAGACCCAGCGATCCGAACTCGCATTCACGGGCCCAGCAAGCATGATAAAACTCCTTGCTCAAACAAAAAAATGCCCCTGGAGGAGTAAACCCACTCCTCCAGGGCCTCGAGGGCTACACCCGGCGGGTGCGCTCGCGCGCACCCACCGGAACCACCAAGTACAAAACACGATCCCGACAGGAGCTGTTGCGAACCAAGTCTCGTCAAAACCTCAGGAGAGTGCCCGCACTCCTCTCGAGGCTCGAGGGCTACTGTCGGATACCACAAGAAGGGGTACCCTAAGCAAGAACCAAAAATGTTGCTTAAACCTTGCAAAAATCAAAGCCAAAAGACTACCGCCAGGTCTCTACAGAATTCTCCGATTCGCTCGAGGCCTTGAGCCGAGGCCTCATATGAAAGGCCAAAAGCGCCCGGCCGAGGCCCTCTCGCCGAGGCCTCACCCTGAAAGGCCTTGGATGGGATGCCAATTCTCCGATTCGCTCGAGGCCGGGCTCGGCAAACATACTCGTAACCTCCGTCCCAACCAAACTCCTCTGACGAAACGTCACGTCCAGATTAATGCGCCCAACTACTCCCGCAAACGTCAGCCGCACTCAGGTACAGTACGGGCAGAACGACCGACGGGACAAGGGACCGGGCGCAACAGGGGTTACCTGCCACTGTGCTCATCACTGTGCTACCTAACCCCTGTGCCAAGGACAAAGTAGCATGGAAGGTCAAGTCCATGTCCCTGTAGTCTCGAAAACCGCAGGAGAGCCCAACTGCTCGTTCTACGCCTCGTCCGAGACCCCCCGGCAGGGTCTTAGACGTACTATTCCTTCTCTGCCTCGGCCGAGGCCGGGCTCGTCCCGCATCCTCATCGTCTCCGCCTCAACTGCCCCTCTGGCGGGCCGTCCCATCCGTGTAAGTACCCCTGGTTGCGCCTACGACAGCCACGATTGGCAGGGCATAGCAACAGGGGCGATGGGACGGCGGTCAAATCTCCTTTTTTACCATTCCCCACTGACGGTGCAGGGACTACCGTGCTTTGCGGACACACACCCTGCACTTTTCCACCTAAACCGGGTATGACGCTGACCACCGAGACCGCCGCATCGTACTCAGGTCACCTCCCAGGCCTCGGCAAATCAGGCCTCGGCGCGGTCGGCCACAAACACCTGCCAGGCCTCGGCGAACCACCAAGTCAAAAATTCACAAGGCACGGCATGTCACCTACAGAGGAGGCCATGCTGACTAAACGTCAACGAGGACCCCTACGACTTCAACAGCCTCAGGCATGGCCGGCATGACGCACCAGTGATCAAGTACTAATTGTCATTCCCGACACTGTGCTGCTATAGGAATAGGCCACAGTACTAGATTTTCCTTTCTCGCTAAGGCTCCACGTGTAGCTCTCTCATATACTCCTGGCTCCCTCCTTGTGGCTATAAAAGGAAGCAGCCAGGGCCGTTTCTATGGATCGAGACCACGCCGGCCCTCACGCGCAAAACGCACTCACTCAATTCACGCACGCTCCCACGCCGCCTGAGAGCAGCGACTCAAGCAGCCCGCACCACTCCACGCCGAGACCTGGGACTAGCTCCCTCTCTCACCCAGCTTGTAACCCCCTACTACAAGCACTTCGGTGCAAAGAATATAAGATCGATCTCCTAGACTGGACGTAGGGCACCGATTGCCTGAACCAGTATAAACCTTGTGTCTCTTTGCATCACCATCCGGGATTAGGGGCACATAGTTCACATTTACTGGTTGGTTGAGGACCCCCGATCCGAAACACCGACACACACTTTCAAGCTAAGAATGTGTATCGCTAGAGCACTGCTATGGCGAAACAACTTTTGCTACAGTTGCAGCACTAGCAAGAGTTGGAATTGCTACAGTGATCAATGACCAAGATCTCAGAGGCTTGATCCAGCAGTTATGAAAAAAAAAGAAACTGTTTTTTTCTTTTTGAGTTTGACACAAAAGCACCCATGTTGTTTCTCGTGGAGCTTGACTGGACTCAGGAATTTTGGATATGTTTGGAAGAATTTTCACTCCTTATTCTTTCATCGTAAGGTGACCGACTCTTGCATTGTCTAATTCACTTTCTTTTTGTTGGAATTCTACACATTAGTTTCAAACTGAAACTGTCCTCGCTGTCTTTTTTGGATGTGTTTCCATACAAATATGGTTAATTGGTTATTGAATTGAGGAATCACTGAAGATCTTATTGGCCATCTGGCACAGGGAAATGCTATATGTAGATATGTAATTGCCTCTAGAGCATGCTAGATTGAAAATGTAATCCTTCCTGCATCTACTTGTCTACCTGAGATCGAGAAATTGTGTGAAGTGCTTCAGTCCTTGCTCATAATTCTTTTAGCTTGTAGTATGTGGTATATAACCTGTGCTGTACATGGAAGTTAACATTAAGCAGCTGCTCCATAGATCTGAGAAGATCCCTGCTGTTTTGTTCTTTCAGTAAAGATCTAGAGAATTGTGATTATGTTATATGTTTTAATGCTATAAGGGTCCGCTAGCGTAGTCCCATTTAACGTATGTAGCCGCAGTTGTGCTCTCTTACTTGTCTACGGTTTAGTATTAACCGTGTGACAGAAAAAGTCCCTATTGTTTTTGTTGGGATTGAACTCGAGCATTTCACCTGCCTTCTCTTTCATCGTTATGTGATGTGACGACTCTTCTCGTTGTAAACTTGTAACTTATCTCCGTGGTGTAGCCTTTTGTTTTCATTTATTTCGCTTGCACCGCAAATTCTTGAGCTACAGGGCATGCGAGCTTGAAATGCATTTTGTTGCTTTGTTTGTCATGGTATTGGTAATTCTGAAGTGAATGCTAGAACTCATCAGACTCCATTGCCCTGTCCAGGTCGTATCCAGTTTCATTTGGTTGGTCAACAGTTTTATGCATATATGAAATATGAAATTATGAATTGGGCAAGCCTGGCTTAGTGTTTGGTGTACCGTGTTACTTTGCAAATCAGAAATTATATGTACAGGTGAGAAGGCATCGGGAAGTTATAACCTACTGATTACTGCCCCACATGTACATTTCAACTCAAACTCCGTGCTCACGTTATGGAGTATGTATTACTAACAACAACAAAGCCGCTCACTTGATCAACTGATTTTCACTTTGCTGGCGCAAACACGGAAACCACACACACACATTATACAAACAAACAAACAAACTTGACCTGCTGGGGGTATGGTATGACCTCCCTAGGGCATTGTCATTAAGGTAGAAAATCTCGATCTTGCAGGCCGAGAAAATCCTTTAATCCTGACTTTGTCGATGAGAGGATTTTCTTTAACCAGCTTAAATTTGCTCTCACGGGAAGTTAAAAAAAAAACCTGAATGTGCTACTAAAGCACTTTTGTGCAAACACGGAAACCAGAAACCCCCCAAAGGAAGTCGGTGTGAGGTTGAAAGCCTGAACCTGGCTACGCATCATCTCCATTTTGCAGTTAACAGTCGTTGACAGAATCTGCTTATCTGCAAGTTGTAGTAATGGAAGCCGGCTTTGCTGTCAGTGTACTATTAGTAGTAGTGAACACTGCAATGTGTACTCCTAATTTTGGGCTCATATGAAGAATATCAACCAGTCCGTTCTTCGTTGGGAATTGGGATATCAAGTCAAAACCACATCGCACTATTAAACCTTCTCAGTGATCGAGCTGATGCCAACTGAAATAAGTAAAGTTTGATGCAATCAGATCAATATGGCGTAGCTGAAAAATAAAATTATGACGCAGACAATTATATAGACAAATGGCAATTGTACCACACGTTCACAATAGAAGCACCAGTGTTCAAAAATTTTGTCAGTTTACACAGTTCATCAGTTTCATGCTTTATCTAATCTTGTATTAAAGACATCTAATCCTTTTATCAAAACTGAACTCTGCACCGGAGTTGCATATCAGCAGATGCCTTGGTATCTACAGGGATCATCAGCTCTCCGTTTGTCCAGTATCTCACTGATTGATACACTATCCGCTACTGTTCTTCCTTCTCCATAACGGCGGCCTCGTAGATCTTGGCCAAGTTTGGGACTTTGACAAGAAACGGCCTGATGAACTTGGCCACGAAATCCTCCTCCGTGATGGCCGCAATGTTGTTGAAGTCCCTGCCGCGCCACAGCCGCCGCGCCTGCAGCACCCTCATCACCTGGAACCGCGGCACGAGCCGCCCCTCCAGGTCGTACCTCAGCAGCGCCGGGAAGCTGGCGACGCGCTCCGCGTCCATCCCGACCTCCGTGGTCAGGAACTCCCAGTTCCTCCGGATCCGCTCCGCGGAGACCGTCAGCAGCGTCGGCATCTTCGCAGCCGCCGTCTTCACCTGCGCCTCCGTCCACCCGAGCTCGTCCCTGAAGAACGCGGCCTTCCAGGCGAGCCGCTCCGGAGTGGCGCTGAACGCCGCGATGATCGCGTCCTTGAACGCCCGCGTCTTGCGCGGCACGCCGAACTCGTCGGCGCGGGCCAGGATGGTGTCGACCTCGTCCGGGCTCGCGACAAGCAGCTTGGAGCAGTAGGAGATGGCGAACCAGCCGACGTCGCCATCCGTGAGGGTGCCTTCCTCTTGGAGCAGCGCGATGGTGGACTTGACCGTCCGGAGGTCGGCGGTGAGGAGGCCCGGGTTGCCCTTGAGCGCGGCGACGAGCTTGTCGACGCGACCACGCAGATACGGGACCCAGAACTGGACACTGGAGACGAGCGCGCGTGAGCGGAACGCGGCCGCGCCGCAGCGCACGACGATCAGGCCCATCTGGAACGTGGTGAACCCGAGCGCGCGGAGCTCGTCCGCGCGCGGCGCGAGCATCCTTGGCACGCTGCAGGTGAGTATCGTCGGGTCGCGGGCCACTGCGACGGCAATGAGCGGCGGGGAGAGCTCGAGCCCGTCGGCGAGGAAGGCGAGCACGGCGTCGGGCTTCGAGGGAGACCTGATGGCGGAGAGCTCCGGCGCCACGCGCGCGGCCACGTTGGGGTAGAGGTTGCACCTGTTCACGAGGTAGTCTTCGACGGAGAAGGACGAGGGGGCGGTGGCGTCGGCGGACGCGGCGGTGGAAGCAGAGGTGGGGGCGTTGCTGGTGCAGGGGAGGGGGCGGAAACGGTATGGAGACGGCGAGGGGGAGTATGGCAGCGCCGGCGAGGGGAGGACGAGACGCCCCTGGAGGAGGAGCATCGCGGCGACGCCGGCGTGACGCTACCGCGTCGAGATGAGCTACGGGAATCGGATAGGTGGTGCCTGTGGCTGACAGGTGCGGCGCGAAGATTAGAGGCTTTTAGCCGGTGCCATTATAAAAGTAGTTAATTACTCATAAGTCAGTGTGATAGGTGTCACTCATCTAAACTTTTTTATTCTGTCCTCTCATCAATCTCGTCCGATTTCACTAATAACGGTGTCAAACATGTGGATGAAATGATCATGTTGCCCCCAATTCAATTGGATTTCTAATTTTTTCAATTTCCTCCTATGCCATTCTCTCGTCCTGCGATGCTAGCCTCTTGTGCTCTAGCCACTTGGCGTCGCTGAGCTCCACCTCGCCGAGGTCCGCAACGATGATGGGAGGATGCCGACGGTGAGCACGACTGCCCCAACCATGTCCACCACGCACCCTCCACACCAACAACAGGAGCGGTGGGCGCTGCTGAGGGACTAAGATAACGATCTGTTGAGGCGACCGTGTTCTCTGCAGGCGACCAGCTAGTTGAGACGAGCGACGCGTGGCGACCGAGGTGTCGACGGGCGGGCTCACCGCGGAGGCGCGTGTGGCCGCGGACGCCAACTGCCCTGTTCGCTTGGCTAATAAGCCATGGCTGAAAATACTGTTGGCTGATTTGTTGTGAGAGAAAAATACTGTTCTTTGGCTAAAAAAGGATGGCTTATAAGCCAAGCGAACAGGACGAACGCCTAGACGGAGCGCGAGACGGACAAGACCACGCTGCGCCAACTCCTCGCGGTTCGCCACGCGTCCTTCCTCGCATGTTCTATGAAGTCAAATTAAGCTGGCGACCCATCGGTTTGTCCCAAGCAGGACGCATCAACGAGGCTGGGCGCGGACAAGGAGGTGGAGCGGGAAGACGCGGCGCGGGCTGTGGGCGTGGAGGTGCGCAACGACCCCGACGCGCACTAGTGCAGGAGTGGGTTTCAGTCCCAATTGGAAAATCCCCTCTAGTCCCGGTTTCCCAACCGGGACTGTCAATCCGGGACTAAAGGCTCGGCTTTAATCCTGGTCCCCTCAATCGGGATTGATTTGGAACTTCTAGTCAATACCAACCGGGAGTAAAGGCAGCTCCAACTCGGGCCCTAGGCGATGCCACGTATTACCCCTCCAGTCCCGGTTGGTATGAATCTCTTTTTTTTCTTTTTTCTTTTCTTTTCTTTTACGGTTTCTTTGCATTGAATATTGTACGCATATATTAAGAGTGAAACTAATTAAGTAAGATGTTGTATATTACAATGATCATCCATCCCACAATCAAATTTCATACAAACCATAATAAATTTAAATCAAGTCATTACACACTACATGTCCAAGTACTCCCCAAAGTTCATGCAAACATAGTATGTCACCACTACTACCTAATGAAGTTGACTTTCTCGTATTTTTAATTCGGTGAAGTGTAGGTCACCGATATGGTATCCAAAAATATCATTAACGAAGACCAACGCAATAACTAGTGCACTCTCCTTCACAACTACGAGCACAGGGTCTACTAACGACGTTTAACAGTGCTCGAGAAGTCGGTGGGTCTCCCCTCTTAGTCACAAGTAGCTTTGCCTAAAATCCTTCCGTAATGAGTGTTGGCCATTCATGAGCATATTTCCAATCATAACCCAATTGATACATTGTCTGGTTTAGAATGGCTTCAAAACTACATCCTTTGTAGGTTAAGTCATAGTCCTCAATCTGTAAGTATTGGTAGAAAAAAAGGTTATGAGAACCAAGCTTTACAACATATAACAATAAATCCAGATATTATGGCAGAACCACCTGGAATAACACACTTTTAGAGATGTTTGTCTTCCACTAGACACTAAGCACCTCGAAAATGGACTATATCGGACAATTCCGTCGAGCACACCCCAAGGAAGAACTCGAAACAATCCACGTTTTACATCCAGAATCCAATAATGAGTACGAGCTTACAATACTTAGTCCATTTCATACAACAGAAAGTCTTGAAAATTATTTATTACAATACCAGAGTTCAGAGTGCGATAATTAAACAGCAAAAATGTAATAATCATCTAGCAGAAACGATACACGGATTCATCTGTGCCCACTAGAAGAATCTTTCACACAAGAGCTAACTCCTCAAGCTGCACCTGCAATAGGGTAAAATAAACCCTGAGTACACAATATACTCGTAAGACTTACCCGACTAGTGAGAATAGTTTCCCGACTCGCAAGGAACATGATAGGCAATAGGGTCTGCTGTTTTCTTTTGTTTGTGAAAAAGCATTACTAAAAGTACGTCCTTAGGGTCAAGTTTTATTAGCAGTCATGATTACTTAATTAGCTAACCATTCTAGGTAAGCACCTGTTCTACTTTCTAGAAATGGTTGAGCAATCAGTACGATTTCACCATATTTCAACTTCCAGTTTTTACTACGGTGCTAGACCATAGCCAAGTCGTACCGTCTCACGGAAACAGTGATTCATGAACCAATGTATCACAGCTGGGTACCCCAAAACACACGCCTCACTTATACCCCAGGCACAAACAAGACCAAACCACTTCACTCCTGTCGAGGGGTCCAGGTCCCCGTCCAAACTTGGACTCCAAGCCCCACACTTAAGACCCAGTCTCAGCATGGTGCTTAGACCTTCACCTTTCTCCGCCTCCAATCAGTCGGTCCGGAAATAGGCGGAACCCACGACAAAGAGCGCAACGAGCCTTCCGCTCCCATAAGCAAGTATGTGCTCAGAATAATAAGTCTGTGACCTGACTACCATACACAGTAACAGACGGTCTTCAATCGACACAGATAGGGAAAAACAGTGTAACCAAGCTAAGCCCCGTGGTCGCGGGACACAACTTGTTACACCCATCAATAACACATGCCATATCCCTGCCCGGACTCTATTTTTTCTTCATCATTTTTATCATGAAAGTAATAATAATCACCTATTGTGAGTAACGACAGGTTACTCACGCTACCAACAACCTAAGCATAGTAACTATTCGAACCTGCATTAGTAGGACTCTTATGATGGATATATATAGATGCATGTGGTTTCTATAGAATTCCTGTAACGTAAATGCGCATCACATATATTTACGGTGATTATAAAAAATAGGGGTTATGCACTGGGGCTTGCCTTGGGCAGGCGCGGTGTCAGCTGAGTCAGTCAGTGGTGGCTCTAGAACCTCCTCCTACACGAGAATCTCCTCCTCGTACTCCTCGACGATCTCCTCAAACTCGAGCTCGCCGGTGGTCACGATCTCCGCCACCTCGTTCTCTTTATGCATGCGATGATGATGATGCAACAATTCAGTATTTAGGCAACAACAACTCTTAAAATAAGAATACACATGTTAAGCTACTAAGCTAGCACTAATGACTAAGATACTAAGCTAACTATCATCTTCATCAAGCAAGATATTGAGTTCAACTAACAAGCACCTAGTTTCGTAATTCAATGGCATGCCTTTATTTCTATTAAAGATTTAATGTATATTTAAACATAGAACATTTAACTATCCTAATGTTTAGTACAGTCTAAGGCTACAAAAATTACAGTGAGCACATAATGATACAATAAAGCTGTTGTAAAAATTTTAGTATTAAAGCAATCACCAATTTACCACAAAAAATCCTACAATAATTACCATAATAAGATTAAGCACTTTCAAATAATTTAAAAGCCTTTAGTATCAACATAGATATGTATGAACTAACTACACTATCAGGTAGACAATGATTTCAGGAACCTAACATAATTAATTTCATAATTTTTGAACACCTATACAAATTTATATTAATTATACAATCTAGCTCAGAAATTAAAATAGAAAGCTATTACTTATTTCTAAGAAAAAGAAAAAATGAAACCGACCTCGCAGCTCACAAACGCGGACCGCGCACGTCGACTGGCCCATCAACGTGGCCCAAGAGGGAAACCCGTGTGGGCACGGCTCTTTTTCAAAATAGACCCTGATCTTTTCTGAAACTACGTCGCCATCCGTTTAGTAATTCTTTCTCTCTCTGACCTCTTCACTTAACCCCCTAGCCTTCCTCTATTTTCCCCACACACACCCGGCTAACCCATGCACGGGGCTTGGCGAGCATTGGCATTGGCTGGCTACGCCGGCTACCAGAGGCTCACACAGGCCCATCGGTTGGCCGACCACCAACTACGACCTAAACGCCTACGCTAAGCGGCAACGTGGGGGCGGCGAGACTCATTGGAGCAAGCTGTGGCGATGCACGACCATCCGCGACGGTGGCACGACTGTTTTGGGGCGCAACCAGGGCACCTAAGGACCTAACCGGCTAGCGAGAGAGCACCAGGGACTTACCACGGGCTCGACCGGTGTGGTGGTTGTAGCGGAGGAGGCCAGGGATGGGCTGGCCACGTGCGTGCGGTGAGCTCGGCGATGAGCCACAGTGGACACGACCGTGTCAGCGGTGCCGAGGAGGCGGTAGTGGTTCAGCTGGAACACGCAGGGTGGAGAGGGAGTCAAGGCGAGGCTAGTGGTGCAGATGAATTGGCTACGGGGGGTTCGATGGGAAACTTCCATCGGCTTTTGACGCACACGAATTGAAGCTTGGCTAGGCTCGGTCCAAGGCGAGGTGGGGTCAGGTGGCTAGGCGACTTGATGGTGAATCCAGCGATGTGACAAATCAGCTCGAGATGATCTCTCCCTGACGGATTTAATGGCGCAGCCTAGCCGGCCCTGGAAGCAGAGAGAGAGAGGTGGGGCTTAGTTCGACCTCGTCTTGGTGGGACGCAGCCAACGCAATCGGGGAGACAGGCACGCAGACACTACGGACCAACCACGTGCGTCCATGATGGGGCACGGCCAGGGTGGCCGCAATGCCATAAATGGCAAGACGACGGCGAGCCCAGCCATGTGCGCGTAGCAGTGGAAGGCATCAGACCAGGCCAACAGCGGCGCGGAGGTACAGGGGGTGTAGATGTGATGGCAAGGTGACGACACCGGCAGTAGCGG